ATAATGGTGCAGGGCTTGTATGCTTTGTGGATGGCAAGGAATAACACGCGAGAAGGGACGAGGATCGAGGAAGCGGGGGATATGGTAGAGATGATCAAAAGGCTCATGGAGGAGTGGCAGCAACTGCATGGCAAAAACAGCAAAACCCCTCAACCTGTACCCGCGTAGAAATGGGAAGTGCCTGACCATGGATGGGTCAAGGCCAATGTAGATGGGGCAACAACTAAAGGAGGAGAAAAGGGAGGCGGAGGGGTGGTGTTCCGGAATTCAGATGGTGCGTTTATAGCAGCGGCGTGCCAGAGTTATATCAATGGGGGTGATCCAGCACTGGCGGAGCTCCAAGCATGTAAGAGAGCGGCGCAAATGGCAGGAGAACTTAATCAGGCAAGAGTTCATATTGAGATGGACTGCCTAGAGGTGGTACGGAAGCTGCAGAGTCCAAATGATGATCTCTCCACACTAGGGCCAATGATAAAGGAGATTAAACATCTTCTTGAAACAAGGGAGTGGAAGGTGTCATGGGTTCGGAGGACGGCAAATGGTGTTGCGCATCGGCTAGCAAAGGAAGGAGTAGAGAATAATAGTAGTAGGACCTGGGTGAATGATCCCCCAGAATGTATTTTGCAGTTTCTTTCGGCAGAAATTCCTGCCTTTTATGACTAAATAAAGGTGATGTGAACGTAAAAAAAACATGTGATTACATTTATAAAACGGAAAACCAATTTTTTGAGGTAAGCCCTATGAGCCGGAAAAGGAGGAGTATTTTCGGTATAGATATCTGGCGAACGTTCGCTGGTGATGGGATCCCGGCAAACGCCCCTGGATCCAATGGTGCCAGTTTTGTAAAATGTCACCCCGGGCACATAAAATGCCATCTGGGATGTTTGCACTTGTCATCCTTCCTCGCGACCACTTGCCACGAATTGAGGTCCTTTATTTTTTTAAATGGATTAGGGAAACGAACCTCACAATCATCAACATACATTCACTTTTGTGAATACACGCACGCATGTGTCATGGAGTATGTTTGAACCTTGTGATTTTTAACCACATCCTGAGAATCTAGCTTGTAGACTTTAGGATGATGGAGCTGGCTTAGTTGGTTTTGTGGGTTATCGGTTGGTATATGGTTGATATGGCCCATGTGAGCTATTGGGGCTGATGATTCTGTGCCTTGGTCCATTTGGTCTCTAATAGGTCATATGTGTTGTCAGTTTTCAAATCCAAGCAGTTTGTAATCAAAGACAATGTGGTTATTGTTAATAGAATTAGGGGAGAGCTCTCTTTATCCAAAAATATGCATAGTCTGTTGATCATTCATCATGAATGCGTCCTACAATATACATCACAATGAAACTATCATCCCTGATTCATCCAGTGGTATGTGCATCAAACAAAGCAATCAATACAATGACATGTGAGGCAAGAATGTATTGTGTCTTGGTCGACCATTTCGTCGAACGGGACCTGGGCATGCCCGGTACCGACGTTTCCCAACATTGTCCGCTCCCCTTGGAGTTGAGGCGAGTTGTACACCGTGCCCCCGGTGTCGCCCTCTTTCGCCCACGCCTGGCCATCTGGGATGCTAGCCCACTGGGAGGTCGGAACGGAGTCAGGCTCGACCAAACACTACTTCCTTCTTATGGTCAGTGGTCACGACAAACGGCGCGGAGGTGTTAGCCATACTGGACGAACCTAATTCTATGTCACTGGCTTTCTCCGTGGCTTAATGGATGCGCTACCGGGTGCGTCGGTACCTCTGGTCGACGTTCTCCACCTTGAAATAGATGACGATCAGGGGCAACACAGACGTCGCCGAAGCATCATCTAGGCCGCCGGCAGAGGACGGGGTGCTCAGTGTCGACATATATGAAGATGGAATCGGATGGCTGCGCGAACGAGGAGCAAGGAGGGCGGTCGATTTGCTGACTGATCAATTTGAACATGATTTGAGGTAGGTCCGACCTATCAAACTTGACGTTACGAACGCGTTCGGGCATCCCCAAATCCTCCCCACATACTAGCTGGATTTGAAGGTGCTGAACAACCCAGATGTTTGGGGTAGCTTTGAGGGGTCCAGTTGGGTTAATATTATGTGATCGAGCTG